GAGGAGGAAGAGGAGAAAAAGAAGAGGAAGAAGGGAAAAGAACAGATAGTAGCTGTACTTCAAGATCCACCACTATTTTTGTCAGTAATTTATCAACTTGATTAAGTCTAGAATAAACTGATACTGACCATAGCCTAAGCATCAGTTGTACATGAGTCCTAGAAGTCCACAAGTCTACTATGGTACCTTATCTTTCAAGATTTAAATGAAATCTCCTCAAACTCTCATACTGCCTACAGTCAGATACCCTTTATCTCTCTCAGCTTCTGCGCGTATTCTTGAGGGGTAGGTTTGCATTTCTCCTGCTCATTGCTAGATCTGATGTCTTGCTTCTGCAGCATTCAAAATCCCACTCTATACGCATTGTACCCCTTTGGAACTTCTCTCACAGATTCTAGACAGGACCCCATGGACTGCACTCACCTAATCCAGACCCTGAACATGGCGGTAGACAGGAAGTCTTTGCAACACAGTATAGCACAGCAAACATCCAAAAATGCTCTAATGCCAGCTCATCCAAGCCAAGCTCATCCAAGCTTTTCTACCTAATTAGCCTCTTTCAGTATTATGCTTTAATAAACAAGCATGCAAACTCAGTTATCATCTTGTGAAATAGGAGATCTCACACTCACTCATAAACTCTTTTCTACTGATACATAAATATTTCAATAACTTCATTTACTAGACGCTTATATTCTATTCTCTGTGCTACAGGCATTTTATGCATTGTCTCTTCGTTCTCAAAACCAGCTTATGATGTGAACATCATTACTCTCATATGTATGAGAAGATGGAAAACTTAGACTCATGGAGAAAAGTAATTTTCCCAAGGTCAATGAACTCATAAAGGGCTGAATATATAGATCCCTGAGCACAATGGCTGCATAAGAGACAATGTGCTACCTGTAGAACTTTCCAGTCCCGTGTAAAGATCTCCAGCACCCTGCTCACACAATCACAGTGTGGCCATCAGAGAAATGGATACTGTGTAAACTGGGGCACTGCAGTATTGCTGGCTTTCTCCCAAGGTCTCAGACTCCCACACACCCAAAAGGAATAGTGTCAGCCAGGCCCTCTCTTATACACAGCAGGAGACTGCAAGTGAGCTGAGACACAGGGCTACTGTGGGTTATCCCCTCTGGGAACTCACTTCCGGAACCTCATTGTTCCCAACACGGGCTCCTTCCAGAATGAAGCTGGCCCTTGTTGACTTCATTCTGTGTGACTCAAGGTTAGAAATGTCTTCTACTCAAGGCAACCTCTGAGGACAAACATTTGGCCGCTGTACTCACCCTCTTCATTCTTTGATCTTGAGAATACACACTTGCGTCTCTGTTTCTGATTGCAACAATTCCTTCCTGCCCTAACCTCTTCAGAAGGTGTGCAGGGAGCCATGGAGCTGTCTCTGGGCCTCTCTCCAGGAAGTAGTTCGGGAGGCTGCCTGATGTTATCAGCACTGGCTCTGTGCTTAGCCTTGCATTTAAAAAGTCTCAGTTTTCATAGATTTTTCACCATCTTCCCCAAGGACTCCATCTGTACAAGACAAGAAAAAACATGTTATAGAGACACCTCTTCCTAGATACTCTCTTTTCTGAATCTGGCCAGGTGAGTCCTGGGTCTTCTTCTCCCCATATTATGCTGGACTTTTTCTCCTAAATCATTCAAGACTGGTTTTTAGGAGTGAGAACACAGCTTCTGCAATCCCGATCTCATTCTTTTGTGCATGCAAAGCTCATCCTGGCCACTTGCCAGCTGTGCAACCCTAAATGGGAGTGAAATATATCAAAACAACGTCAGGCTTTCTCTCCTGCACTTGGAGATAATGTTGAATGGTTAAGGGCGACTGTGGGGATGAAAAGAGAAAGCTCATATAAGAACTCCATGACCTGAATGGTACACAAATTCTCAATGAATAAATGCTGGTATGATTAGATCCTCCCAGAAAATGGCCATTCTCCAGAAACATCACAAAAGTGGTGAGCACTTTTAACTCACTGTATTGGAAGCTCTTGTTCTAAAGGCAGTCTCTTCTTAGTGCTAGGCTGAAACTTTTCTGGCTATGGATGCCTCCAATCTAGTCTTTAAGAAGAATGAAAGAAATCCTGTTATGTACAGCAAGATGGTTGGAACTTAAGGCCATCATATTAAACAAAATATGTCAGATGTAGAATGACAAGTTCCTCTTCTTCTAATATGTTGAAACTAAACAAGGAAAAAAAAAGGAATAAAGATTCTAAAGACAAACCCCCCAAATCTAGTTTTTAAGGGTCCAGGTCCACAGTTTCATGCCCATAAAGTCTGCCTTCTCTTCTGCTAGTAGACAATGACAATCCTTATACCTATTAGATCACATCCTCTGTGATATAATCAAGAAAATCAGCTCTGTAATTCTTCCTTGTCTCTGCTGTATCAGTAATGTTCCCTTCTCTGCTGGACTATTTTTCTCAACATGCAAAGATAGTTTTATTTCCCATTTCTTTTTTGCGCTTTTTTTTTTTTTTTTT